ATGCTTCTCTGTCTGGCAATCTGATGGACGTGGCTAGGTTTGGTGGCTGCTAGGAAAACGGTACTTGTCTGACTGCATTGTGCAGAGTGTAAAGTTTGGTGGAGGGGGGATTATGGTGTGGAGTTGTTTTTCAGGGGTTGGGCTTGGCTGCTTAGTTCCAGTGAAGGGAACTCTTAAGGTGTCAGTATACCAAGACATTTTGGACAATTTCATGCTCCCAACTTTGTGGGAACAGTTTGAGGATGGCCCCTTCCTGTTCCAACAGGACTGCAAACCAGTGCACAAAAGCAAGGTCCATAAAGACATGGATGAGCAAGTTTGGGGTGGAAGAACTTGACTGGCCTGCACAGTGTCCTGACCTCAACCAGATAGAACACCTTAGGGATGAATTAGAGTAGAGACTGTGAGCCAGGCCTTCTCATCCGACATCAGTGCCTGACCTTACAAATGCACTTCTGGAAGAATGGTCAAACATTCCCATAGACACACTCCTAAACCTTGTGGACAGCCTTCCCAGAAGAGTTGAAGCTGTTATAGCTGCCAAGGGAGGGCCAACTCAATATTGAACCCTACGGACTAAGACTGGGATGCCATTAAAATTCATGTGCATGTATGGTGTATATTCCTGTCATGAATAGTATCCTTTAAAGCTAATATCTAAGCAAACATCTAAATACACAGATGAAATACATATGTATATGGGAGTTGTTTTACCTGAGGATTTGAATTTCTGTCCATGCAGTTCTAAGATTTGAACAGCTCTGTATGGCATGACAAAAGACTGGATTATTTTCTGCTGAAGTTAATTTGTAGTATTAGTAAGAAGGTTGACATACTTTGTATGTTAACATGCGGTGTGATAGGGCAGCTTATTAATTTGAATGGGCTACCTAACAAAAATGCACCAGAAAGGGACATGTACTTTTTTTCATTGTACTTGTATCATTAAGAATATGTAGTGCTACCTCCTTTAAGAACGACTCAGTATTTTGGATTCCCTGTCTGTTCTTAGCCTGGTTTGGAAGCACAGCCCTTGTTGATACCACCGTGAAACCTTGGCCAGAAGAACCCCCTGATTTTGAACCACAAAATAATCACAGTTTAAAGTGAATATTCTGAGGGGGCAGGGTACAGAAAGTGCAAGCACAAAAGAAATAAGTGTGCAAAAAAATTAAACACTTTGAAAGGTTTACCAGAATAATAAAAGCACAGTATCCCTTTAAGTAAACCCAAGTGTCCTGCAGGTCCAGAGTTTAAACATCCATTCCAGCACTAAGATATCTTTCCCCAAGTGAGCTAAAATAGGCTATCAAGATCCTGAGTCAACTCACTTTTGGGTTCCCAATAGCTGGGAACAGGATTTAACTCTAGAGATGAATTCTTGCAAACAATAATGTCCCCTTTAGTATATCATCAAAATAACAACAAATCTTCTGCGCGCTTGATGGGGCCCTAGTTGGTGTACATCAAGGTTGAGATCCTCTTTTGTGTAAGAGCAATATTTCCACAGGATGTTACAGCAACAGAAAGATTTCCCTTAGGTTGATGTTGAAAGCTGGGTAAGGTCTTTTTGCCACAAACGATAAATGCAAAATATTGCTAAAGTTGAAAAAAGGAATGGAAGCAGACTTCAACAGAGTTTGAACCGCTAAAAGTGGTGATTTAGTCTGGTGAAGCAAGTTCTTTTACAGCTGGAAGAGGCTTGAAAGGAGATACTAAGTGTAATCCTGTTTGCAGGGAAGCAAGCTCTGTAGCAAGGGTCCTGCAGTTTCAGAATAGTAGGAAAACACTAAAGCAGTAGACCGCGGTACTGAATGGGCTAAGCAGTCTGCGTCTCAATGTGATAAACTGCAAAATAAGTTGTACTAAACTGGAATAATTGAAATTAACACAGTCACTTGCAACTTGTGATGATCTAGGTTATGGAACCCTCTCACCCAGTCTGTAGCCTTTGCAGCACAATGGTTTTTCTGTTGGGGGGCCGCCAAGTTTTTCGGTCCTTCCGTAGAAGTAATGCCAATGGCAAAACTACTGTCCACCTGCCTGCAGGACAGAATGTCCTGCTTGTCAGCAGTACCAGCGGTTTGCAATCCCTCTTTCCTTCTCTCCAATGTGACCTGATCCAGCCTGAGTCCTCTGAGTCCCACACTGCTTTCTCCACACACGTCCTCAGCCTTTCACCATCTACTCCCTTCCTGGAGAGTTCCATGGCTTTTGAATATATAGGCTCCCGCCCCTTTGCCAGCTCTTCTGGGAAATGTAGTCTGTTTACTCTTTATCTGTGTACAGAAGTCCTGCTATTAGCACACAAGTTCCAAAAGGCTTTGCTTTTCTTCATTAACCACTTGCCCTCCTGAGTGAATGACAATACAGCTTTCTTTCAATGGTATTTGATTGCCTGTGCATTTTTTATTTTTTGCACTGTAAAAAAAAAAAAAAAAAAAAAAAAAAAAAAAAAAAAATGGATGACAATTTTGAGGAAAAAAAATATATATTTTTGACTTTTTGCTATTAAACATGTCCAGTAAAAATTTTTTAAAAAATCCAAGTTAATCATAAATTTAGGCCAAAATGTATTCTGCTACACATCTTTGCTAAAAAAAAAAAAATCCCAATACAGTATGTGTAAATTAATTGGTTTACATGAAAGTTATAGCATTTACAAATGGCAGTATATACACACTGGGATTTTTTTTTTTAAATTGTTACTAGTAATGGCGGCGATCAGCGACTTATAGCAGGACTGCGGCGGCATTCTGACACTGGAGGGAACTGACTTGGTGTCACTGACATCTCCAGTGACAGCAATACAGTGATCAGTGCTTTAAAAAAAAAAAAAAAAAACTGACACTGTACTGATGGCACTGGGCAGGAAGGGGTTATTCTGAGGGACGAACAAAGGGTTAACTGTGTGCTCTTTTACTAAGTGCTGTGTCCGTGTACTTCACTGTAAGCACACTGCTTTACAGCCATCCAAAGCAGTGTGCACGAGCCAACAGGGAGGAGAACTGTTTTGTTTACAAACATCTCCTCCCCGTCGGAGATGCTCAGCAATCACCGGCCGGGACCCGGTAATTGACAGCTGCAGCCGTGAATGGCAGCACGGGTAGGGTGCACGTGCATCCCTTACCTGGACATGCAAAACCACATATATAAACACACATGATTTTGCGCACCCGTGGCGCCCTGTAGCAGTATTTCTGCTTTAGGGTGGTCAGGAAGCAGTTAAAGTCTGAATAACTAAACAGCAGAACACTGCCATCTTGAGGTTAATTAACATCCTACAGTCAATATTAGTGCAGTGTGTTACAAATGTACGGCAACACAGCACCCAAAATTGAAGTGCTTGCATGTTGCAGTAACACATATTCCCATAGTGCATTCCTTGCATTAAGGTAAAAAAAATGTTTAGGCATTAGCTTCAGCCCCTCATTCCCCTTTTTACTTACCTGAGCCTTAATTCAATCAAGAGAAGTGCACATCTGCACCTCATCTCTCCCCTCACCTCTTCATCTCACTGGCTTTGCTGGGACACTGGGAGTCATTGGCTCCCACTGCTGTCAATGAAAGCCAGTGACGAGGCAGTGGAGGGCAGGGCAGAGTCCCAATGTCTGAGTCGATAGAAGCAGTAGCAGAACTTGGGAGCGAGCATGCATAAGTGCCTCCATGTGAAGCCTCATCCCATGGGGACACTGGACAGAGAGGAGGAGCCGGGAGTACCAGCGGGTAACCCAAGAAGAGGAGGTTAGGAGCCACTCTGTGCAATTCCATGGCACAGAGCAGGTAAGAATAGATATTTTATTTTTAATTTTCCTTTACAATCACTTTAAGTAACACAAAAGTCTGGAATGTCTTAGCACAGATATCTACAAATACAGATTTTGCATACATTGTTGCCTAAAGGTATTACAACAAAACCCTAAAGTATAACTAAAGGTAAAACTTTGTTTTTTGTTTTTTTTTAAGTGATGAATTAGGTTAGAACACCTGTCAGGCAAATATTGTTGTCTATGTCTTCGTTGGGGGATTCCTCCTCTCTTTGTCCTGTTTATTGTGATCACTGAATGTAAAAGTGAAAGAAGTCCCATATTTTGGGTTGATGGTGACCGTTTGTGGACTGCAGTCTTCAAACCATTCCACAGATTTTTCAATGGGGTTCAAGTCTGGGCTCTCACTAGGCCATTCACCCTATTCTTCTTCAAGCACTGTGTGGTCATTTTTGCTGTGTGCATTGGGTCATTGTCATGTTGGAAGGTAAACCTTTTCACCATTGACAACTTTCTGGCAGAGTGCAGCAGATTTTCCTCAAGACTTTGGCAGTATTTTGCCCCATCCATTTTTACTTCTATTTTGACAAGTGCTCCAGTCCCTAATGCAGAGAAATCCCCCATAACAGGATATTACCATCTCCATGCTTTACTATAGGAATGTTATTAATTGGATGGTGAGCTGTGTTGGATTTCTGCCAAACATAATTTAGTGTTGAGGCCAAATAATTCAATGTTAGTCTCATCTGACCAGAACACCTTTTTCCATGTGTCCTCAGAATCTAAGGTGCATTTTGGCAAAGCTCAGTTGTGATTACATGTGGCCTTTCCTGAAAAGATGTTTTTTTTCTTGTAACCCTCCCATACAAGCCACATTTGTGGAGAATGCGTGATATTGTTGTCACATGCACACACTGACCACTCGGTCACAAATTCCTGCAGCTGCTTCAGATTTGCTGTAGGCCTCTTGGTAGCCTCTCTGACCAGTTTCTTCATGGCTCTTTCATCCAGTTTGGAGTAATGTCCTGATCCAGGGAGGGTCTGCGTTGTACCAAATAACTTCCACTTCCTAACAATAGACTTTATTGTGCTTCAAGGCATTGACAAAGCCTTTAAAATGTTTTTGGATCCATCTCCTCACTTGTGCTTGTCCACTACTTTATCTCAGAGATCTTTTAACAGTGCCTTGCCACACATCTTTGATTGTTTGCTTCAGTTGCACTATCAGGGACTAATGCAGGCCATAGATGGGTAGAAAATCGGCCAATTTTTCAGCCGAAAATAAAATCGGCCAATTTTCGGATCGTTAGTGGGCTATTTGTTCGGCCGTTCTTCGGTATTTTGGCCGTTTTTTTTTTAATCGGTAAAGTTGGAAAAAAATCAGCCGATTTTGCCGATCGGCCGATTTTCGCGGCAATAATGGGCAAATCGGCCGATTTTTTACCGATAAAAAATCTGCGCATGAGCAGTGACCTGCAAGAGGAAGACAAAAAGAAGAAAAGAAAAAGAAGAGGAAGAAGAAGAGGATGATGATGATGAAGAAGAGGATGAGGATGAGGGTGATGAAGTAGAGGATGAGGGTGATGAAGTAGAGGATGAGGGTGATGAAGTAGAGGATGAGGGTGATGAAGTAGAGGATGAGGATGATGAAGTAGAAGAAGAAGAGGATGATGATGAAGAAGTAGAAGAAGAAGAGGATGATGAAGTAGAAGAAGAAGAAGAAGAGGATGATGAAGTAGAAGAAGAGGAGGATGATGAAGTAGAAGAAGAGGATGATGATGATGAATAAGTAGTAGAAGAAGAAGAAGAGGATGATGATGATGAAGAAGTAGTAGAAGAAGATGAAGAAGAGGATGATGATGAGTGAGAAGAAGAGGATGATGATGATGAAGAAAGAGTAGAAGAACATGAAAGAAGGAGATGATGATGATGATGATGATGAAGAAGAAGAAGAAGAAGATGAAGATGATGATGATGATGATGAAGAAGAAGTAGAAGAAGATGAAGAAGATGATGATGATGATGAAGAAGTAGAAGAAGATGAAGAAGAGGATGATGATGATGAAGAAGTAGAAGAAGATGAAGAAGAGGATGATGATGATGAAGAAGTAGAAGAAGATGAAGAAGAGGATGATGATGATGAAGAAGAAGAAGATGAAGAAGAGATGATGATGATGATGAAGAAGTAGAAGAAGATGAAGAAGAGGATGATGATGATGATGAAGTAGAAGAAGATTAAGAAGAGGATGATGATGATGATGAAGAAGTAGAAGAAGATGAAGAAGAGAATGATGATGAATGAAGAAGTAGAAGAAGATGAAGAGGATGATGATGATGAAGAAGTAGAAGAAGAAGAAGAAGAAGAAGAAGAAGAGGATGATGATGATGAAGATAGAAGAAGAAGAAAGAGGATGATGATGAAGAAGTAGAAGAAGATGAAGAAGAGGATGATGATGAAGAAGTAGAAGAAGAAGAGGATGATGATGAAGAAGAAAGAGATGATGATGAAGAAGAAGAAGGAGGAGGATGATGATGATGATGAAGAAAAAGAAGAAGAGGAGGAGGAGGATGAAGAAGAAGAGGATGAGGATCATGATGATGAAGAAGAGATGATGATGATGAAGAAGAGGATGATGATGATGAAGAAGAAGAGGATGATTGTGAAGAAGGAGAAGAAGAAGAAGGATGAAAAATAAAATAAGAGGAATTCCAGTCCGGCAAAAAGTGTCCCTGCAGAGAGCTCCGCTATTTCTTTGACAGTTCTTTGACAGTACCTTGACATTTACAGAGGTTGCAACAATGTATCTATTTGTATCCGAATAAAAACATCTGTATCCTAAATGGATACAAATAGATACATTGTTGCAACCTCTGTAAATGTCAAGGAACTGTCAAAGAAATAGCAGCTCTCTGCAGGGACACTTTTTGCCGGCTGTAGACGGGATGAAAATCGGCCGATTTTTTTTACCATTGGTGGTAATGTCGGCCGCTTGAACGAATATAAAATGCACTCTTTTCATGCTGAGTTAATTAAAAAATGACCACAGCTGATTACAGTTGAACAACAAATGGCTTTTTGTGCCTTTGTGAAGGTGATTAGCTACACCTGATCGTATTTACAAGTCATTTTTAGTAAACTGCCTTTTATTTCCTCCATCAGCTCATCCCTCACAGCTATTACCTTTTTGTGTCACTCAACCCTTCCGCCTAGATTGTAAGCTCTAATGAGCAGGGCCCTCTGTTTCCTCTTGTACCAAATTGTATTGTAACTGTAATGTCTGCCTTCATTTTGTAAAGTGCTGCACAAACTGTTGGCGCTATATAAATCCTGTATAATAATATAATAATTTTTAGGAGAAGGATGATCCTTTTTCCAACTAATTGATTCTGTTTTTGAATTTTTTTGTGATATGTTGGTGCTCTCTCTTTCACTTGGATATTATAAGTTGCACTGAGTAAATAGAGTTGGATAAAACAAACACTGTGCTCGTCTCAGTTTCAGGCTGCAAAGCAACAAAATGTGATTTTAAAAGGGGGGCGATTCTTTTCCATACCCACTGTATCGCTGACCTTTCAAGTTGTTTCTTTGGGGTAGGTTTATATATAGGACAGAAAGCTTGAAATTGTTAAAAAGAGCTTTTAAACACTTGCCAACCGCGCTATAGCCGAATGACATCTACAGCGTGGTTGTCCAGTTCTGGGAGGGCGTCATATCACGTCCTCCTAGAACGTGCACTCCCGGCGATCTCCATAATCACTGCGTCCTACGGACACCGCTGATTATGTGATGTGTTAAAAGGCCAATCACAGCAGCCTTTTACCACGTGATCAGCTGTGTCCAATGACACAGATCACCGGTAAATGCAGCTGTCACAGCATGAGCAAAGTACTGTCGGTAACTGGCAATTGTCAGAGGATGGATCAGCACCGATCAACAGGGCACTGATGATCAGTGCCCTGATGATCAATGCCCAGCAGTGCCACCCACCTGTGCCCAGCAGTGCCACCTATCAGTGCCCCCCCATCAGTGTCACCCATCAGTTCTGGTAGTCAGTGCCGTCCATCATTGCTGCATATCAGTGCCACCTATCAGTGCCCATCAGCGCTGCCTATCCGTGCCACCTCATTAGTGCTGCCTATCAGTTGAGCCTCATCAATGCACATCAGTGAAGGAGAAAAATTACCTGTTGGCAAAATTGTTTTGTTTATTATTATACAGGATTTATATAGCGCATAAAATAAAACCCCCAGTGGCGATTAAATGCCACCAAAAGAAATCTCTATTTGTGTGAAAAAAAAATCATAAAATTTCATATGGGTACAGTGTTGCATGACCGCACAATTGTCAAAGTGCGACAGCGCTGAAAGCTAAAAATTGGCCTGGACAGGAAGGGGGTATAAGTCAAAGCCAGATCTGTGTAGAAAATTAAACTTTTGCAAAATCTCACAAGAGACTGTGAAAACCCCCATTCATTTTCTACACATACCTCACAGTTAACCTATGAGAGGTCCCTGGGTAGGCACTGGTAACAGTCTTCCCAGGGGTTAGCTGTGAGGCCCTGGCTATGTAACCAGTGTATATTCAATACCAGGAATAAATTGATTTTTTAAAATAGGACTTACAGATGTTTAGGACAGCTGTATACACATTGGATTTGTATTTGGGGGGGAAAAGGTCCACTTTAACATACAATGTACCATCCAAGCCTTAAGATTTGAACCTAGATTTTAATATATTAGAACAGAGTGAGCACACCTAGTTTTCAACTTATACGGAGATCTGCCAGCACAGTAAAGAAACCGTTAATAATGCAAACATATCTTCCCATTCCCCTCAACAGGTAAAAACTTAAAGGGCAAGCAGCAATTTTTAAATATTTTTTAATTATGCTGGTAAAAATATGTAACAACATTAAGTAGGTGTTAGCCTAGTTTGAATGCAGTCCACTGAACAGCAGCTACAGCCGCTATTAAAGAAAAGATTTTCTAACATGTCTCTGCCACAGCAGTGGATCAATTGGACTGACTTCTGAGGAGCAGAGACCTGACACACTCGGATTGGAATCCCTGTGTTCCTGTGCAATTCAGTGCAGTGTGAAATTCAGCCCATTCATTTGGACTGGCTGAAATTGCACTGGATCACTGGTTCATGCACTTCTTTTCAAAAACACATTGCACCAAATCACATGATACTATGGTAGAGTGCAATATGATACAGGCAAACAAACTGCTTTTGCAATCTGCGTTTGGGTTGTGGTTAAGAATATATTGACACCTGCAGCAGATCGCACAGGCAGTGTACTTTCAGCATGGTAGGGAAACGCACATGGAATAAGCCTTTCCCGCACCATATTCTGGTGTGAACTGTCCCTTAGTCTGAACAGTTTATTTAAGAGTGCAACAACCCAACAGCTCTTGGAGAGAATGCAGTGATAAATATCAACTATACAACATAGTGTTTATCAAACATCAAGCAGGGGCCAGGAATAGGTAAAGCACAATCCAGGTAGGCCTGGGCTTTACAAGGTACAACTAAAAACTGCCCCTTCCTCCCAATAACTCGCCCCCCCACAAAGCTTATACAACCCCCAGTAAAGATACAAACCCCCCCCCCCCCCCACAGTCAAAAATCTCTACCCAGTACAGATTTCCCCTGAAATGCCTAAACCCCTCTCAGCTCAGACCACCCTCCCAGCCCCTTCTCCCGGTAAAGACCACAGCACATACTATCAGCATATGGATTAGGGACAGTAAAAAGAATGGGAGGATCAGAGAAGAGATAAATATCCTTTTTATACAATGCGAAGGATTAGCTGCTTCTCAGTACGGACCCCCGGTAAAGACCACCCCCACAGCACATACTCCACAGCCCTTTCACAGAACAGACCCCACCAGAGTGCAGACCCTCTTCTCTAACAGTTTAGACCCTTCTCCAACTGAGACACCCCTCCATTTCAGATCTCCCCTCTAGTACAGGCTTCTCATAGCACAGACCCTCTTCCCAATACAGACCTCCTCCCTCCTCACCAGTACAGATCCCCTTACCTATACAGACCCACTCCCTCCCTAACAGTACAGACCCCCCTCTAGTACAGACCCCACCCCAGTACAGCATTTCAGGGTAAAGGGCGTGTGCTCACCCTACCTGCACTGCTATTGGCTCCTGAGCAGGGGCACACTGACAACTCATGGGGCCCCTGTGTCCTTGCCCAAACTCAAAAAAGCCTATGAAAAAGGTACCAGGGACATCTCATGGGCCCCCTACTGATCCTGGGCCCTCGGGCAGTGCCCGAGTTTCCAAATGGTCAGTCCACCCCTGCTCCTGAAGATGTTAATCACTGGGTCCCGGGCAATGATTCATGGACGGGACTCAGTGATTGTCGGCAAAGCTGAGAGGGGCTAGATCTGTGTGTAAACAATACAGATCTCTCTCCTGTCAGCATGGACATGCTGCTTTCTATCTTTCTGCACAGCAGAGAGATAGAAAGCAGCGGGTCTGCTTAGTAAAAAAACAGCACACAGTACAAAATAAAATCACTACCGAACACACACTTAACCCTTTGATTGCCCCTGTCAGTTCCTGCATACTGCTTTGTATGGCTCTGCATAGCAGAGCCATACAAAGCAGTGTGCTTACAGTGTAAAGCACACACACAACATACAGTAAAACAGCACACAGTTAACCCTGTCATCGCCCCAGATGTTAACCCCTTCCTGCCCAGCGTCATTACTACAGTATCAGTGCTTTTTATGAGCACTGATCACTGTATTAGTGTCACTAGAGAGGTCAGTGGCAGCTAGTCAGTTCCCACCCAGTGTCAGAATGCCCCCCACAAACCCACTAAGTCGCTGATCGCTGCTGATACTAGTATAAAAAAAATAAAATTTCCAGTATATATACTACCATTTGTAGACGCTATAACTTTCACTTCTTGGGATTTTTTTTTAACAAAGACATGTAGCAGAATATATTTTGGCCTAAATCTATGATGAAATTAAATTTTTTCAATTTTTTTATTGGATATGTTTTATAGCAAAAAGTAAAAAATATAGTTTTTTTTTTTAAATGTAAGTTTTTTTTTTGTTTATAGAGCAAAAAATAAAAAATGCAGAGGTGAACAAAACCACCGAAAGAAAGCTCTATTTGTGGGGAAAAAATGACAAATTTAATTTATGTATAGCGTTGCATGACCGCACAATTGTCAGTTAAAGTAACGCAGCATCGTATCGCAAAAAATGGCCTGGTCAGCAAGGGGGGTAAATCTTTTGGAGGGCAAGTGGTTAAAAAGAAAAGAAAGGAAAAAAAAAGAAAAAAATACTCAGATCAATGTTCGATCCAGGTCAGTGCCAGGGTCAAGTAAAGGTCAGGGTCAAAGGTCATGATCAGTAAGTTTTGGGCACAATTTTTTAAAAAGTTGTATCAGTGTCAGTTAGGGATTTACTAAAGCTGGACAGTGCAAAATTAGGCTCACCTC